AGCTTTCCAATTTGGTATTTCAGTCAGGAGTCTGGAGATCGGAGTTTCTCCAAGCAATTCCCACTGTGCCTAGACCCATTGATAGGCACCATCTGTAAGCTTAAATGCATTGATTGACATTTGAGATGAAGAATATGGCAGGTCCACTGACTTGTCCAGGCAGTTTCTAGTGTAAAACTGGCCAAAGTTTATATAGATAGCTGTAACCTTAAGTAGAAACCTCTTGCACAGATATAGAAGTTATCATACAGAATAGTCCCTTACTAAGATTGGAAATGTTTTTGCATACTACTTAATTTAATAAATAGATCATACAGATACCAGAGTAGTTTGCAGGATTACAGGACCAATGGTTTATAAGAAATGAGCGGAACAGTTCAGGTAGTCTAACCTGATCCAGAGGAAAATACTAATGCATAAGTTCAGTTAGTATTAGTGCATAAGGATTCTTGCAATGGAAGTTTTTTTTCACCCCAGCCACAAAGCAACTAGCAGCTTCATGCAGGAGACTGGACTGATTCCCCACAGGATTGTTACAGTAGGCCAACATACCAATATTTTGTTAAAGCAAGCATTCTACCGATTCAACTCTAGAACAGCTTCATTACTTATGAAGAGCTACCACAACACCTTACTACTAACACCAAATACATCACTGTCTCAAAGCATGCTCTTAAGGAACAGTAAATATTCTTTTGGAAAGTGCGAAGGGGAAGAGATGGCAGTACAACCACTGTACAGATGGGGGACTGCTACCTTCAGGCCACATTCAGTGCTGCACTATTGGCCTCTCCATGGCTGCACAGGCAGATCTGCTCTGCAGCATCCATGAGAAGCATGGGGACAGCCTGCTCCACCATGAGCCTCTCCTGGGATGCAGGGAATTACTATTCTGACCATTGATTTGCCCAGTAAAATTACACTCTTTGCCATAATAAAAATAACAATAAAAATGAAATAAAATAATGAAAAAGCATACATCATTAAGAATTAATAACAAAATACCTGTCACCTTATATATTGAAAAAGAATTGCCAAGTTAAAGGAAAAACCACAATATAAGTCAGAGTAGCTAGACTCTGTGTAAAGGCAAAAATCTCCTGCAGATCTTTTTCTTTCCCATTGGAAATAATACCAAAAATGCCAGGAACGGTACATGAAGGCCAGAACAATTAATGAGCTTAATAGTATATCTGCATCTGGTTCACTAAGTATTGCATAACCTCAGCCAAAATATTGTTCTCTAGAATTCAGAATAAAAGTGTACAAAGAGCATGTTCTATGTTCGAATACAAAAGTGGCACAAGGCAACTAGCTCACTTCAAATAAAAATGAAGAGACATTCTCTACATTTTTGTGTAGGTCTAAAAATAATGAATACCTGGCAACATTAGTACTTGACAACCATTAAAACCCCATGGACTCTAACAGAAAACAAATGCCTCTATTACTTCAGAATTACTAAGAGTTTTATTGAATTTGAATTAAATTCAAAAGGATGAGCCATATTTATAAAATTACAGTAGCATGTAAGTAATTTTATGTTTGTTTAACAGTAGCACTAAAATATAGGAAAAACAAATTTATCCAATCTACCTGACAATGCAGTGTCTTCTACATATTACATAAACAGAGGTCTCAGGAATGGATATGAAGCAACTGACACTCTTACTTACAATCCTACCAAAAGTTTGAATGTATTTATCTTAATGCATATCAGCAACTACTTTTAAGAGTAAGTGGAATCCTTATGACTGGAACAAGTATATAATAATTTGTTTGTAGGATTAAAGTTTAAAGCTAGTACATAGATACATATGAAACTATTAAGTTATCGTTATCATTTTGTATTAGTTTAGCTATGGATATTTTGGTGCACTCTGGCAAGTCACGTAATTGTCCAGGCTTCCCTTTCACATTCCTTTTCCTTTCTTATTAGAGAGTTTTGACCATATTATACAATATTGGATTCTAGTAACTTATAACCTCACATAAGAGTTCCTGGTTGAATCCATGTAATGGTTACTCAGAAGTGAGTCTCTTAATATTCACCAATCCACATATTCGTTCCAGAAAACGTTCCTCAAATTAGGACAAAATAGTTAATATGTTTTACATCCAATTCTGTATAAAAACATTAGCTGCTTTCTAAACTAAGCAATAAAAGGCAAAGTAGTTTTTTCAAAAGCATTTTCATTGGTTTCATTACTTTTGATGCTCGATAGTAATGAGAAAAGACAGTAATGAGTAACCATAAATTTCACTCGTTGGAAAAATCTTAACTAGATTGTAAATAGGTTGGGTTTATTTGTTGTCTACGGTGGTTATTCCAATTGCTGTTTTAAAGATGACAGTTACAGATCCTACTACATAAAACTGTAAAGATTACTTCATACTAAAACTGAAGATAGGTGGATTTCCTGGACTACAACTGAAGTTTAGAACAGTTCACATGAAGTGACATAGGACTTACAATACAAATAAGAAAAAACTTTGTGGAAAGCAATGAGGGATTCCAATGTTCAAATTACATTCTCACTTTCATCAGAGTTAGTTTTACTTCACGGCAGCTGGAAATCTGGTGGGTTGTTTTTCAACAGCAATAGGGTTAAATACTGACAGGTAGTGTTACCATTAGTAATTACTTAAAAATGAGTCTTACTTGACTAGGAGACTGTATAATCAATGAATATTAAGATGTTATAATTACAAAATAAATAAGAGAGTTAGGCAAAGCAGATTATAATAACAAAAAGAGAATAGATAGAAAGCTTACCCATATCCTGGGCTCACCTATGAAACCCCAGCAGAGTGAATCTCCAGAAGAGATCCTTCCCCACTGGTCATCAGCTCTTAAGTGGGTCTAGGAGAGGCGGAGCCAGGCTCCACCCCTTCCGGCAGCACAGATGAATTGCCTTCACCTGTGCTCCCGTGGCTGACTCGTTGCTCACCTCAGGTGATCAATCAGAGGTTCAGGCCCTGATTCAGCATTTGCCATACAGAGACACAACACTCTTCTCCCCCCATCCCACAAGTCTTCCTTCTTACTTCAAAAGATTGTGAAATGAATTCAAGCAGATATTTCTAATACTGCTAGATGCTTACCTGTTTGTTTCTTTGCTCTGTTATGTAATGTTTCAATGTTTTTTTCCCAGAAAAAATATGAAAGACTTATTTCTGTGTGGGTGCTCAGCAGGTTGAAAAACAGAAGAGGCAGAAGCATTAAATGTTCTGAGAACAAAAAAAAACCCTACTAAATAATACACACAAGGTCTAAGTCACAGAGATCAGAGATTAATGATGCATTCTTTTTTATTTTAATAATTCTGTCTCCAACTTTAATCAATTCAATGATTTAAGAAGGATGTTTTGATTCCCTCAACCCCTCCTACCCCCCCCCCTTCATGCAGAATGAAAGTTACTTGTTATCCTGTTTATGCATGTAATCTTCAGAAAGAGATGAATTGGCACAATACAGGCTGAATTCTCTATACCATATGCAAACAACAGACAAATGCATGGATACCACATTTCTGCAAACTGCAACGGATTGCATAGGCTTGAACACATAAAATTAGATTTGCCTATGAATAACATGAATAAGTGGTAGAGTAATAAAGAGCCATCTGACTGAAAACTCTAGAAATGCACCTTCTATTCTTATGTTCATTGTCAAATTAAAACATTTTTTTTTTCAGTTTAAAAAAAAAGTTTGAAAGTAGTAAAGCTAAATTTAAAAAAAAAAAAATTAAAAATTTAAATGAGATGTCCCATTTCCCCACTAAATCATATCCCTTAGTACAACATCTGAACTGTTATTTAACAGCTCCAGAGACAGCAACTCCACCACCTCGCTGGGCAGCCCATTCCAGCACCTGACCACTGTTTCAGAGAAGAAGGTCCTAATATTCAACTTGAACATCCTCTGGCACAATTTGAGGCCATTCCCTCTCATCTTATGTAGGAAAAGAGTCCAACCCCCACTTCTCCACAGTCTTCATTTAGGGAGTTGTAGAGAGCAGTAAGGTCTCCCATGCACCTCTTCTTCTCTAGACTAAACAATCCCAGTTCCTTCAGTTGTTCCTCATAAGACTTATGCTCCAGACATCTCATCAGCTTCGCTGCCCTTCCGTGGAAGCCCTCCAGGGCCTCCGTGTCCTTCTTGTAGTGAGGGTCACAAAACTGATCAAAGTACTCAAATGAAAGAACAAAGAATCTCCCCCTAGCTTCTAGCCTTTTTATTTAAGAAGAACTAGTTTTAAACTTAATGTGGCATGAAAAATAAAAGTCAAACTTTCTTCTTGTTCTCAAAAAAAAAAAAATCAGAATAGGATTATGAGAAGTATAAACCTTTCTATTTTTAGTACAATTCAAGCCTGTTCAGATTCAAGTTTTCATTTGGTTCAAAATTTTGTTCAAAAAATTTAGTCAAAATCAGTACTACAACTTCAGAGAACTGAAGAGTTCAAGCAAGCAAGCCACAGCTTCCCTGACATATTTCTTGTTTTTCAGCTCACAATTTCATATTGCTTCATATTCCTTGAATATATCATCATTCAGATATTATAAACTGTTACTGCCAGGTACATTATTGATGTAAGTTTATATAGTCACTCATATTACTTAAAACACTCTGAATCAAAACTACAGGTGGGATAAAGGCCTCTTCTTCCCCAGGTAACCGTTCTAAAATAAATGAACACCTTCTGAACTACTTTGTTTCATATTCTTTTCACAAGCACCTTGAGAAAGTTTCAGGTTCCCAATGTTATTTTTTTTCCTAAAATTAACAAGCAAATAAATACAAATGGAAAAACAATTCCAGAAAACTATGTGATATTTTCAAGACAACATGCAATTATCAGGCTGTTGAACTTTTTGCACCTGCCACAGGCTCCCACCCCAGGAAAAGTTTTGTTTTTATTTTGTATGAAGCTAAAAACATTATGCTTTGAAATATACAACACATTAGCACAACAATAATATCAGAGTAGCAAGGTCCTAAGCAGTAGCAGGGAAGAAGCTCAGGAAGCGAGAAGATGCTCAAATGCAACAGCTGTAGGCACAGAAACAAAGGAAAAAAGCTACTTCAGAATGCCTCAGGTACACAGGGACATCAAACAAGATACCCCTGCCTCCACTGCCAAGACTTAAATGAGGTCTGGGAAGGGGTGGAGCCAGGATCCACCCCTTCTGGTCACTCAGGTGCATTGCGTGCTGTCACAGAGTTATCTCTAGATCTGAGTCCATAACAGAGGCACAAGTCAAAAAGGAGACAAAAGAGAGAGGGAAAAAAAAACTATCCCACCTTTTGTGGTGTGGCATGGCTGGCCCCCCAGCCCCGGCCTGTGACTAATGAGGCAAGGCACTTGCAAGCCATGTGGTCCAGGAGGGGGAGAGGAGGATGAGTAGGATGAGTAGGGAAATAGCAGATGGATCTAAAAAAAAAAAAAAATAAAACAGCAACAATCTGAAGAGGAATGTTAATTTGCTAAATCCAACAAAATCAAACAAAGTGAGAGAGCAAAGTATCAGAATACAAGGTCTTATCAAGTAGACTGCAGGGGAAGCACGCGCTTTTCTCCACAGCGAACTGAGATAGAGCAAGTCAGTGAGAGGGAGAGTGGCTGGTATCCTGCCAGCAGCTCCACCTTTCTTCCTCTGCATGTCAAGCTCTCTGGGAGTGCCACTCCTACACCCCCCCCCCCCCTCCCCTCCGAGAACCCAAAATGCCCAGAAAAAGCAGTCCATGGAACCAGAACATTAACTCTTTAACTACCACTGTTTTACCTGATATTCTGATGTGGAATACCAACAACAAAAATCGCAACACCATCACACATGCACCCAAGCTCCCCTGGCTGGGCCCTGCCTTCCCACCAGGTGCTCAATCATGGTTCAAGCTGTGACTTAGCATTTCTGCTACAAGGCTATATGTGCAACGAAAGTCAGGTGGGCCCTGTGACTACCATTTACTTGATTTATCAGGTGCAACACTGGTTTCTTCCACTGACATATAGGTTTTCAGGGTGAACAGGAATAACATATTTATTATATACATATATTTCTGAATTGTCAGCAAATAACATTTTGAATATTCAGAGGCTTTCATACTCTTGAATAACAAGGTGCTAGGTTTAAGTATAGGTGCTTTTCAGAGTACAGATATATTGTAAGTACTTTGCTCAAGATCACAAAGGAAAGGTAGGACTGAATAGATGTTAACTCATGTTTCCCAGTTCAGTGCTTTAATCACAGAATGTCTTTCCTAAAGCGTGTCCCAAAAGTACACCTTACAATCACTGTAGGGACCAGTGCTATTAGTCAAATAAATTCAAAACTACAGACTCTGTTTGACAAACTACCTGGAGGATGTTGGCTCATCTACAAACAAATTTAACCTAGAAGTTAATGGACTCTTTTTTTGCATCCAGATAAGTGTACAGGCACTTGAAATTCATCCATGAAATAGATCTAAATCACAGAATTAGCAGGCATTGTAGAAAGCAACCAGAGAGGAAGAAACTCAAGCCCTGTGGAAAATCCTGCAAGACTCGAGGCATCCTAGACAGCAGCACTTTTAGGGCTTGAGCTCTGACCTCTCTTGGTGTGTCTCACCTCACTAGTAACATAGATTTCTCAAAGTTAAACTTGCAAACGTGACCTGCCATTCACTCCATACACAGTGTTTAAGGAGGGAAAGTCCACTGTGCATTCCTTATGAAAACACAGTGACACAGAGAGTTTCCTTACTTGCATTAGTGCAGACGTAAACACAAATAACTAAGCATTTACATGAGTTCCACAAGTTCTGTACATTATATATGCATGAATTAATGCACTAGATCCTCTTTATCACTTGCTTTTTACGTAGTTGTACAGAAGATTTCCATCTGTCCCAGGAATTCATTGTACAGGCATTGTTCAAGTTCATGCAGAAATAGTTGCTCATTTTCATACTTGGTAACAATCCAGATGATTTCATAGTATTTTTTAGTTTTCTCACATGTTGAAGAGCATCCTACCTGAAGGGAGGAGAAATAGCAACAATGTGAGTACTTTCCACTTATTTTTTTTTTCTGCTTCATGGCCTTGCATTTAAAACGAGCAAGAAGAACATTCAAGTGAGAGGCAGATGGCTAGAATATCATAACAGTATTTCCCAAGAACCATCGAACAAGCTTAGATCTAACCTGATCTAAAATAAACATGTAAGCAGAAGTATCACCTTGTAAGTAACGGTTGGAGAAGAAAGTGACATTTTAAGTATTGTTGACAAATCATGCAAATTTGCATTTAATCATATAGAACAGCACCCATTGGGACAACCAATTTTCTGTGTCAAAGTAAAACCTACAAGTTTTTCAGAAACATCTTCAGAAGTCGCAACATAGTTGGGTTGAATAGAAGTTAGTAACATTATTATTACATTAAGCTTGTTTTCTTTTAGGCAAAATGCATATATTATACTGTTTCAAGTAACATTTAAGGAAGCACTGTTAAACCACTATGGGGAAATGCATTGCTAACCTTTTCCATCTCTTCCTTGGAAAGAGAAATACATCTGTAGAGTCCCTTTCACTCAGACCAATCTCCACTGTCATTCTTTAAGATTCTCTATTCTGTATTCGGATCTCAGCTGATATTTTTTTTCTGTACCCCATCAAACTTAAACCTCTCAGATTCAAAAAAGACATCTCTTCCTGTAACACCAAAAAATGTTACACATTTATTATGTTATGCTTTTGGAGAAAGACTACATGAGAGAAATGCTATAGAAAATAGGCTCTTCTGAACAAAATAAAGATACAGCTAAATTAGATATAACGATCTTACCCTACACATTAGAAATTGAACACCAAAATATGAGTTAGTCACCCAGCAGTCTGTGAAGAGAAAGATGCTTAACTACTTTTCTTTGTTACAAACTCTGGGAGAATCTGGCATGAATCAGTCTTATTGAATCCACATACATATTTCTTTCTACTGACTAGAAAAAACATTTTGGACAGCTTGAACAGTATGATACATTTCGCTGTTAAGACTCCAGAATGCACTACAAACTGGGAAAGTTGAAATGAAAATGAAGAGTTTCTAGAGAGTGGTTCACAGTGGTCAGATATATTTCAGCTTATCAAAGGTATTTTAGTTATACCACGCTCCAGTTAAATTTACGAGGTGTGAGCTTCAGAGGTCCTCATCAGTATAATTACAGCAATTCTGGTAGAGTTTCACTCACTCTGGATGTAGAAATAGTCTATACCTCACCACAGTGCTTCACATTCGGTTGTCTATGCACCAATGACCTACGGGTACAAGAAAAAAACAAGGATTGACTTGAATGTTGTTAAAGAAATTTTTGTAAAAGTAAACTTTTGAAAATATTGATGCACTAGAAAAAAAGCATTATAAATCCATATTCTTGGACAAAAAACATATTAAATGCAGAAGTATGAAAGGTTTGTACACACCAACTATAGAATCCAGAACAGACTAATTATCAGTATAATACATATAGAAGAGACATTCACAATATATTTTAGAGGTGGGCAATCATATTGTTAGTCATTATCATTCAAGAGCAAATTATGTCTTATGAAAAGCATCCTTGAATATTTCCTTTCTTTTGATCATAGAATCACAGAATCATAGAATCACTAAGGTTGGAAAAGACCTAAAAGATCACCCAGTCCAACCGTTCACCTATTCCCAATAGCTCCTACTAAACCATGTCCCTCAACACAACATCCAGTCTTTCCTTGAACACCCCCAGGGTCGGTGATTCCACCACCTCCCTGGGCAGTCCATTCCAGTGCCTGACCACCCTTTCTGAAAAGTAATACTTCCACATGTCCAGCCTGAATCTCCTCTGCCGTAGCTTGAAACCATTCCCCCTGGTCCTATCACTAATGACACGAGAGAAGAGGCCGACCCCCAGCTCACTACAACCTCCCTTCAGGAAGTTATAGAGAGCAATAAGGTCTCCCCTGAGCCTCCTCTTCTCCAGGCTGAACATTCCCAGCTCCTTCAGCCTCTCCTCATATGGCCTGTGTTCCAGACCCCTCACCAGCTTTGTTGCCCTTCTTTGAACACGTTCCAGGGCCTCAATATCTTTCTTGCAGTGAGGGGCCCAAAACTGGACACAGTACTCCAGGTGCGGCCTCACTAGTGCTGAATATAGGGGAACAATCACCTCTCTGCTCCTGCTTGCAACACTGTTTCTGATGCAAGCCAGGATGCCATTGGCCTTCTTGGCCACCTGGGCACACTGTCGGCTCATGTTCAGCCGAGCATCAATCAATACCCCCAGGTCCATTTCCTCTACGCAGTCCTCCAGCCACACCGCCCCAAGCCTGTAGCGTCGCCTGGGGTTGTTGTGGCCGAAGTGCAGGACCCGGCATTTGGCCTTGTTGAAACTCATCCCATTGGCTCCAGCCCAGCTCTCCAGCCTGTCCAGATCCCTCTGTAGGGCCTCGCTACCCCCAGGCAGATCCACACTTCCAGCCAATTTGGTGTCATCTGCGAATTTACTGAGGGTGCACTCGATGCCCTCATCGAGGTCATCAATAAAGATATTGAAGAGGACAGGCCCCAGCACCGACCCCTGCGGAACACCACTCACGACCGGTCGCCAGCTGGATTTAACTCCATTCACCACCACTCTCTGTGCCCGGCCCTCCAGCCAGCTCCTTACCCAGCCAAGAGTGTACCCATCCAAGCCTCTGGCTGCCAGCTTCTGCAGGAGAATGCTGTGGGAGACAGTGTCAAAGGCTTTGCTGAAGTCTAGGTAGACCACATCAACAGCCTTTCCTTCATCCACCAGATGGGTCACTAGATCATAGAAGGAGATCAGGTTGGTCAAACAGGACCTGCCCTTCATGAACCCATGCTGGCTAGGCCTGATCCCCCGGTCACCCTGCACATGCCGCATGATCTCCCTCAAGACGATCTGCTCCATAACCTTCCCTGGCACCGAGGTCAGGCTGACAGGCCTGTAGTTCCCCAATCTATGATCTATGATCAATGATCTAAGTAGTCTAATGAGTACAAGAAGTGAATTAGAAAAACTGAAGATATAAAATCATTAATTTCTCAATACAGATGAATCATTTGCATAAATTTTATTTGGCATCACATGGACAGCTCTGGATTGATACTGGTCTCTAGAGAACAAATAGCTAGAGATATTGCTTTCAGTATGAGAAATTTGTCTGCTTAATCATCTTGCATTGATGAAAGAAGGCTTGAGAGTAGGCTGATAAAACATTCAGGATGCTGCAAAGCTGTGCATTTCAGGGTTGAAAGGTTTACGAACATAAAAATCCTTGCATTGCTCATCATCCTTCATTAGCAAGATAGTAAAATCCATAGCAATTTAAAGCAAAGTCTATAACTTTACACAAACTCTCCCTTGTGGATTAGTGAAAATGCAACACTAAGTAGGTAAATATTCAGTTACAAGCTTCTTCCATATCTGAATCAAAATCCAGTACATTTCACTCAAGATTCAGCGTTCATTCAAAACCTAAATGAACAAAGTGCCTTCAAGAATGCACACATTTCTATAGAGATGTTAAGACTTCTGTCACAAGACTGAACACTGTTTTCAGCCCTTTAGTTTTTCATGAATATAAGTATAGAAAATTGTCTCTATTGTTTATATTACCCTTCTGAAATAGTCCAAAAATACGTTAAACTAAATTACAGTTCCAGATACTGTGAATAATCAACGAATTCATAATCCAAAGATACAGAAGGTGACAAGCCTGTGGGAAGGCAGGCTTTTATCCCCAGCTGCAGCAACTGATCACGATAATTCCACAGCTGCACTAAAGGGACTGATCCTCCCCGCTCACCTGAGA